GATCACCAGAACTAATAAAGACTCTTTCAATTAATATTTGGAGTAGATCAAACCATCCCCGAGTTTGCTGGATTGGAACCATAGCCATTGATTTAGGTCTAGGGCTCATAAGTTGGACTTTGTCTTAGCTGTGTCTGGAGTCAGTAACCAGGTCAGCTGGGTTTACTGTGGGTCAGGGGCCCATGGCTCTCCTTCAGGTGACCTCTCATCTCCCAGCAATGGGGCTGGGCTTGCTCACCTGGAAGAAGTGTGTTCTAAGAAGGTGAATGGTGGTGTACAAGATGGCTTCTTGAAGTCCAAGTGTGGGACTGGCACATGCTAGTGGTCAAAGCCAGTCACAGGGTCAGACCCAGTTTTGGGGGTAGAGAAAGAGTCCAACATTTTGGCGGGAGGAGTTTCAAAGTCACACCGTGGAGCTGCCTGAGAGAAAGAAAGACTACCCCATCCAGGAAAGAGTACCAATCTTAAATCTTCAAAAGGACAATTGGAAATGAACAAGTATAAGTGTACCTTATATTCTCACCTCTCTTCCTGATTACATATTCAAGCAAAGAACAACAATGAATCTCAACTCATCTTTCCATAATAGCAAGGCCTGGATATCAAAAAGCCACACAAAGATTGGGCATTCAGAAATCCTAATGTGATTCTATTGCAGTAAGTTCTAAAGAGGAGCAAAGGACTTATGGCCTGCTGACCAAATGTAACCAAATGTGTTTGTGACTTTTTACTTGGTACAAAAAAAGCAAAATTTAATGGACTATGAAGGAAGAATTGATCTATGAAGCAATTTGGTGGCAATTGCCAACAGCTTACTGAGAATTAAAGTAATAACAGAAAACTATCTGAAACCGTGCAAGAGAATAACCTCCAACTCTGAAAGAGAGATCATTTAGCAAGGAATAAAGAGAAAGAGCCAGCACAGTAGTGCCAGAGACTGAAATTTTTTTAAAGGAAATTTCAGGGGTTCTTGATTCCCATCCTTTTTTCTTTCTACTTCTTCTTCTTTTCGTAATGCATAAGGAAAATCAGACACATCATCACTAAATCAGCATGCAATTAAAAGGGCAGCAGGACCTGCCATGATTTTGCTAAATCGATTTTTCTCAATGATGTCTGCAACCCCTCTGAGGTTTGGAAGCGGAGTCAGCTTAGCTTATCCATTTCTCCTTCCTCACACCCATGTGCACATTGAGATGGGTATTGTTGGATGCTCATGAATGCTAAGTGCCAGACACTGATTTCCATTCTGGGGAGGGGGTGGGAGAAAGCATTTCAGTCAATGAGTTGGTGGTCTGAATCCAGTTCTTAGCATACTGCTACCCATAGCCCTACTGTGCCAAGACAATGGGACCCTTTGTTGACAGTCTTGGCACAAGCACGAAGGATTAACTGGGCATGATGCCTCAGCCACTCTCAGCTGCAGCTCTGCTCAGCTCAGAACACAACTAAGATCCCGGGGCCAGCCTGAGAAGGCTTCATTTGTCACTGCCCATGGCTCACCAATGCTGGGGACAATCTGTTGTTTGAAAGTTGTACACTAGGTTTTTATTTCAGACATAAGCTACTGCATGGCTCTTTTCCCTTATGAAGAAGGCAGCTAGCCCCATTATTTTCCTGCCAAGAGATATTTCCAAACCAGAGCAGATACAGAAGCATACTTTGTTGAGTGACGCATAGCTAAGAAGTTAGTTTCTTTGCTGAAAAATGTGCAAAATGGAAACTTAAAAAAAAACAATTTTTGAAGATTGACAGAAAGGCAAAAATTACTATGGAGTAAAATTTAGCAAATCTCAGAATACTTTTCAATGGATTCATCATTCCAAGATATGACATCTATAAATATATAAATTTGAAAGAGACTTTAAAAGGTAGAGTGGACATTCATGGGTCAGAGTGTATGTGTGAGTGTGGATGTATATGGTTGTTCTTGCTGCTTGTGTGGCCGGTCTAGCATTTCTTCCTTTTTTTTTTTTTCCTGAAAATCTCTCAAGACACTTTTCGGGATTATCTACCACCATCACTTTATTATGCCTAGGTTCTTGATTTAGGTGAGATTGACCCAGTCTCTTCAGCTTTGATACTTTAGGCCTATGACTCAGGAATCACCAAGTGGACTATTCAGACTACCTAGTCTCAGTGACTGTTTCATGAGGGAGCCATTGACTCAAACCAGCACAGAATCTACTGTAAAATTCTGCAAGTACTCTTAGGAGTGGGGGCATTATAATTTCACTAAGTTTGCTAAAGGGGTAGAACATAAGTTTGGAACTGCTTCTTTTTATAAATTTTTAAAGTTGTTTTAATTAGACATGACAGTATAATGCATTTATGCACTTTGATATATCATACATGGATGGGATACAATTTCTGATTTTTCTGAGTGTGCACATTGTGGAATCGTATTGGTCCTGCCGTCACATAGGTACACAGAGTGATAATGTCTGCTTCATTCTACTGTCTTTCCTGTTCCCACATCCCCTCCGCTGGAACTGCTTCTTGAAGCAATTTAATCAAAAGAAAAGCAGAAGGAAGGAATGAAAAGAATCGATTTCAGATGACACATTTGGAGTCTCTGGATCCAGATCCACCTAAAGCTTGATCTATTTCTTGGTTTTTTAATTATGTGAATTAATAAATCTCTCCTCTTATTTAAACCAGTTGAGATGCATCCCTGACACTTGAAACTCAGAGTGCGCTCACTAATTCCTCAGATTCTCTATGTTGTCCTCACCCTTTGGGGCAGATGAATAATGAAGCCACTGAGGTGACGCTTTCTTGTGAGTTTCTAGACATAGAGGCCAGCAACAGATACACAGATCGTACTTACATAGGAAATTTGAATCTTAACCCTCAAATTTTTCCTAATATAAATTAAGCTCATTTCCTCTCAGTAAACTATAGAGAAATTTCATCTCTTCCTTTCTAAGATCTGGTTAAGGGGAAGATACATCTTAAAGTATCCCTCGGTCTTCCTTTTCAAGTTGACCTCTTTCCTTTGATCATCTGGTTTCTTGTCGCTCAAACATCAAAAGTATTATTTTTTGTTACTCTTTGGAAGTAGGGTAACACGAATCTGATCAGGTAACTCCCCCAGTGAAATCCCTCCAGTGGATCCAAATGACCTTAATATAAAGTCCACTTCTTTCCATGGTATCTTGGTTCACTTTCTGTTGCTATTTTAAAAAATACTTCAAATGTACTTTTTATAAACCTACTTTTTATAAACCATAGCAACCTAATATGATAACAAATCAAGTAACATTGAGGAGTTGTAAGAAAGAGGAAAGAGGTTTGTCTTTTTTTTTTTTTCCTCCTTCAATAGCAGGAAGTAATAGATGATGTTCAAAGTTGAAAACTACTGTTGGAATAAAACCAAAGATTCCAACTTCTTGCAATTATTTCTTATCTTTTTCCCCTAATTTGTAGATTTTGAAAAACTGATTTTTTGTGTGTGTGAGAGAGAGAGACAGAGAGAGACAGACAGAGAGACACACAAAAAGAGAGACAGAGTTTTTATAAGGCAAAGTTTAGCAATTCTTTGAGCAATTCTTTCAGTGTTTTCTTCCACTTAATGTGGTGTAATAAACAAAAAAAATTTTCTTCCTTTTCTGGAAATCTACTAATAGCATAGTAAAAGAATTTGAAACACTGTGACTATAAAGCAAGCAGAAAGAGGAATCATAAGCAGTCAATAGATTAAACCATTTCTGGAAGAGAAAACATAAAAAGGTATAGAATACTTTTTAAAAAGCTTCAGCCTAAATATACTTACTTGAGGCAGGGAAGCAGGGGCTGTGAGGGAAAGTTCTAAAGAATTCTGGCCCAATTCATGGAGGCTCCTGACTTAGAAATCTCAGGACAAGCGGACAGCAGCCCTGAGAAGTGGGCTGAGCACCGGCAACAGACTTGAAGCATGGAGCAGGATCCCGTCACCCCTCAGCTCCACTCAAGGAAACAGAGGGCTATTCTTTCACATCTTGGGAAAGTGTATTATTAATTGAAATATTTCTGCCCCTTCTGAGGAACATGACTACCAAAGAGTCTATAGTCTAGTACTTAGCTCAAAGTCATGTGATTTCTTTGGCAGTCACTGTTA